GGGGGCATGGGATGGAGGTGCAGCTGGCGTGGGGGGGTGGCTCCTATGGCTGCTTGGACCCTGGGAGGGCATGGTGGGGGGGAGGGGGCATGTGCCTCTTGATCTGCATGGGTCAGGCTGGAGCTGGGGCTGTGCGGGGCTCTTCTGGGGTGGGGGTTGGCTTGGAGCAGGAGATGGGAGGGGGCTGCAGCCACCCCAAACTTGGCTGCAGCTCCACTCCCAGTGCTGCCACTGCTGGCAGCCACTTGGTGCGGTCTTGGCTCTTCCCAGCATGTGAGTGGAGGTGGGACATGGGGCCAGGCTGCACCTGGTGGTGTAGGGCTGGGAGCAGAGCTGCTGTGAAATTTGGGGTGGGTGCAGCTCCTCCAGTGCCCTCTCTGAGCTGAGCCCACCCCCGCCAAATACAGCCCTGTGCAGCCCCGGCTGCAGCCAGCTGCCCACCCCATGCAGATTCAGGGGGCACAGCACCCTCTCCCCCCCCCTCCTGGGGTGCAAGCAGCAATGGGAGCTGCCCCCCACAAATGAGCTGTGCCTCTGTTCCACACCCCTGTCCAGCTTGGGCAGCACCTGCCCCCTCCCTCCCTCCCTCACTGCAGGGGTGTCAACCTGCCCTCCCCACTCCTCTTCTGACTTACCAGCTGGAGGCAGCTTTCCACGCTGCCAGTTCTGCTCTGTGGTGCACTGCAGCTGTCTGCAGCACAGGCATTTATTAGCCCCATCGGGCCAGTATCTGATGCAGCAAATTTTCTTTATCAGTGCATCAGTCCAATATCGGATCGGTATCTGTGCACCTGTAGCTGACACTGGTGGTTTGGTGGATATCCACACTAGTATTGTGGCAATGCCTGTAGGCTACCCTGGGCTCATCCTTTCTAGAGTGATAGGCTGTCTTTACACACATTTGATGTAAGGTGGATAGATGCATGTAAACTGATATCAAAAAAGCAACTCCTCTTGACAGAACTTTTCAGCATAGACTTGGCATGAATGCAGAATACAAGCATAAAATACAAGGTTGATGCTGCCAGTAATGCATACAGTTTGGGAATTCTGCATCTAATGGCCAACTTCTCCTTCTAGGACACCTTTTGTTCAAAAGGCACTTGGAGTAAGCTGTCTCATTTGGTGTTTAACACTTCAGGATATGCATGTCTTTTCCTGGCATGGAATTGGTTGACAGACTTATTTGTACTCTTGTTACATTTTTCTTAAATCTGGTAAACTTTCTAATGCTTACCCATTGTTTGCAAAGGGAATTAAAACTTTGGTTTTAGAATAAATAAATATTAGAGTTAAAACATCAGATAAAACAGTTCAGTTTTCTCTTATTCCTTCCTTTAAAGCCTTATTTTGTCTTCCTAGATTTTGCTGTGTTGTTCCGGCAATGGCCATTATGACTCTGTGTATACAAAACAATTTCAGGCAGATGCCGCTGTTTGCCAGGGTAAATTAAACTCTTTCTGTGAATTGTATTGCGCATTTTGAAGTTTCACTTGACAGTTTGTTTGTTTTGTTTTTTGGGTTTTTTGTTTGAGAGGATTGTGTGGGGCCAGTGAAGTGGAGAACTCGTCAGTCATTTTTAATTAAGGTTAAAATAACTGGGGTTTCATAAATCTGTAATGAGTACATCTGCTACTGGAAGATCACATATGAAACTCCAGCTGTTCCTTTTTATTTGGCACTATATTGACCTTTTGAATTGTGCATCTTGTTTGCCCAGCTGTGTTGTATGAGATGCTGTACAAAGATGTGTTTGCCATGGATGAAGAAGAATTGAGAAGTGCAGTGGAGATGTTTCGAAGTGGGTCCAAGAAGAACAGAAACAGTGTCTCTGTTGGAAGCGAGGATACAAACTTTGATTGCCTCCCTGAGAAGGCCTCCAAAAGCTCATCAGAAAAGAGGTAACAATTCACTTGTGAAACAGAATGTGGAGGGACTAACTTACTAATGTATCTTCTGAACTATGACATGGAAAAGCTGAGTCTTTTTCAAAACTTGTGGCATTAAGCTGGAATCTGAGCATGCTATGGAAGAGGCAGTGCTGTCCCTGCGGCTGTTAACAGGGCTGGATTAACGCATAGGCAAACTAAGCACATGCCTGGGGCCCTGGTCCTTCTCCCCCACACCCCGTGGCAGCAGCACAAATGCCCCCGTCCGCTTCCCCCTCCCTCTGCCAGCCTTGCTTCTGTGGCAGCTGCTTCCTAGCCGTGACTCTGAGCACCGCTTCCCGCAGGCGGCAGCACTAGGGTGGGGAGGGGGTCTCGACCAGCTAGGGGCCTGTGAGTTTGTTTGCCTAGGGCCCACTAAAGGGTTAATCCGGCCCTGGTTGTTTAATAATGCAATTGAACAGAAACAGCACCCGCTGGTGATAGGATAGGTTTGACAGTAAAATTTGAACTTATGTTTATTTACAAAAAAAAATGGTTCCTATGCATTAATTAATCTTAGTTTTAAAAAACACAACCATGTATTTTCTAAATCCCCTTAGTACTACAGAGCCATCACTCCTATGAGGAGATGCACTGGATTCTATTATTGCCTGTCCATCACTAAAATTTATGTTCCAAATGTAGGGCTAAATTCTGCATTGTGAACAATGCAGCTCTAACTTCTTTGTCCCTGGTTTGGGAGTCATTAATGAGGCTGCACAGGTGAGCAGATACAAGGTATGCTATGCCATCCTTATTAAAGTTTGTGTTGCAAAGAACCCAGCTTATGGTAGTTAATAGTTTTGCAAGTTCCTAAACACTTGGAAAAGAACCAAGCTTAATAAGGAATCCTTACTGAGATGAAAACACAGAATCCTGATTATCTGTGGACAGAATAACAGTTTAAGTAATATTTTTGGTTCTGCAGAATAGAATCCTATTTATTGTTCCCTTATGCTTAAACCAATGTTGCTGTTACAGAGAGAAGGGAAAATTCATTCTAATTTCATAGAAAAGGAAGGTTTTGAGACATGACTGAAATATAGTACAAATATAATGTGTTAAGATGCAAATCAGAATGTACCACTTGGTGGCACCATGGTGCTTCTAGTAGGTTTGTTTCATCAGCTGGACTTGGTTTGAGTCCTGGTCAGAAATCTTGCGTCTTTATGATCCTATTTTTAAATTGCTTAGAGTGGAAGACTGGGAAGGCAATGATACTGACAACTCGCCTGAAGATAAATACAAACAAGGCACTGAAGAGGCAAAGGTTGGCAATTAAGGAGGAATCCTTTTATTCTTTCTTGTTAGTGTAATGCTCCTGATGCATTGATTATAGCCAAATTGGTATTTCCCATCCCAAACACTATTATTGGGCTTTTATGCCTTGTTGTTTTCTCAAACTTCTACATACATGTTTTGTTTTCTGACCTGGCATTTCAGTCAAATTCATTGAGTGAGACTTACTATTTCAAAACAAAACAAAATAAAACCGAAAAAACTTTTAAGCTCTCTTGTTCTTCTCTAGCTAATATTAAAGGAAGCAAATGGGAAAAATAAAACCACCTGGACTCCAGGGAGTAAATATTCACTGCTTTTTTTATTCTACTTCTTTTTTCAAAAAACCCATCTAATTAACTTTTATATGAGAAGAGACAGGACTCTACTCAGCTGGGCTTTAAAGTGGTTCAAACTAGGCCTATCCACTGCTTTATAGGGTCCTTATATTTTTAGCAGTGCTAAATATCTGCAGTTCTAACTGCCTTTGAATGGAGTTGTGGGTGGTCTTTGCAAAACAGGCCCTAGTTAGTTGCAATTTCAGTTTTTGCCTCCGTAAGTTGCCTTGCGTCTGAAGTCAAGCAAATCAATAGAGAATCTGTTGCTAGCCTTTTCACGTAGCCTTTCTTCCTTTGCTCAGAACTGAGCGCCAGAATTCATAATACCTGAAGGTTTGTTCATATTCTTCTCAGATTTTTGTACTGGAAGCAGACTGCTTAAGTTTTTTTTTGCAGTGCAACTGAAAGAGGCAGTAAAACAAAGTTTGTGCAGCTGTTACAATAGTTCAAACCTTTGGCAGGGAAGGGAAGTGTTTTAAATGTGACGCTTTTAATCTTAGTCCATTTTAACTCTGTTTTAGCCTCCAGAAAATCCATCAAAGATGCCTTTTCCTTATAAGGTGCTAAAAGCCCTGGACCCTGAGATATATCGAAATGTAGAGTTTGATGTTTGGTTGGACAGCAGAAAAGGTACTCCCCAAACCTTCAAATGTTATACATTTCGTGCAGAAAATAAAAGCTGCTAGTTTATGGTTTACTTTCTAGATGTATGCGTATTAGTCTCTGACAGGGGTTTGAGCACTTAGATGCACACCAGAAACTGTTAAGGGACATGGGCTACTCCAGTAAACATTTGTGGACAGTGTAGGCCGTTAGGGCTGTGCGAAGCTTTGGTAGCTGATTTGATTTGGAGGAGATTTGGCCCTATTTGGGGACCGAATCTCTGAATCCAAATAGAATTGGGAGACCAAATAAAAGTTCTGATTTGATTCGGAAAAGATTCGGCCATAGACTAAACAGGCAGCTGACACAGCTGCCTCCTGCTGGTAAATCTGGGGGAGGGAGAGATTGGGGCTGGGACAAGCTGCCTAGCTGGGGTAGGGGGGGCAGCTCCCAGACAGCACATGGCGCCGTGCTGAGCCACACTACCCCCATGCCATAGGGCAGTTGCCACACGGGTGGGAGTGATCCCCACTGTGCGGGGGCACTCTGCCACAAGCCCTCAGAGGCCCCAATCACTGCTCCTGTGGCTGGTAAGTGCAGGGCTTTTTCTTGTCTTTTTCTTTTTAAGTGCCAGAGGCTGGGGCTGGGCAGGGCAGCCCTGGGGGATTCTCCCGTGGCGCGCTCTGCCAGTCTGAATCAGCGCCAAATCTTCCAAAGCTGATTCGGAGATTCAGATCTCTGTCCTGAATTGAATTGCTGTCCTCTGAACTGGCCAAATCCAAACAGAATAATTCCTTATTTGCACAAGCCTACAGGCTGTTGATTTCCTCTCTAAGCAGTACTTCTAACACTGGTACTAAGGCTCTTAATCAATGTATTTCTTAATAGATCAGATTTTATGGCTTAGAAGGAGCTGGGATTCAAAGCCAAACACAAATATGCTTGCAATACTGTACTTGCAGGTAGTGATTAAATTTAAAATGGCATCTCAATTATTTTTACCTTCTGGTTGCCATGCCTACAATAAGGCTTTTGTACGTGTTTTAATAAACGCTTCTGGTTCCAGAGTAATGTAACAAAGGGTCAAGTTGAGTGTTGGGTAAGTGTTCCAAACTGCCATATGTTTCCCCAGGTCTCTGTAGGCTTGAACACTAAAGGAAATTTGACTTAGTCCCACAACTTGAGGTGCTGCTGTACTTCACAGGATCCTATGTGGCTGATGTCAGCTGACTTATTTTTCTGGCTAACATTTTCTTTCAGACAGTGAATGGAAGCATTTGGGTCTGTCTTGCATGCTAAGGGATTCCAAACAACATACAACAGGGGTTACTTTGCTTACCACTGAAATTTGCCCTGAGGGATGGGGACACAGTACAATAGCCAGGTATCAGCCTACAGCAAAGCTCTACAGAAGTCCAAGGCAAAAATGAAGAACAGTCTATTGAAGTTCATCAACAAGGGAGGCTTTAGGGCATGGTGGTGTTGCCCAGTTGCACCCCTTCCCTTTACAGAAGGTGCTGTCTACTCTAATGATAAGTGTCAGTGTGTTTTGTATTTGTGCATTCAAAAGTTCCCAGTGCCATGCTGGGGTATTGACTACATATTGTTGGAAGAAAGGGCTTACTGAACTCAGTGCTCTTCTTGCAGCTTGGAGGTGGTCATGTTTGCTTTGTGAGATTTGATGGGATCACGGCACCATCAAACATGGGGGACATTAAGGGAAATGAGAGAACTCAGCCTGTAGTACTTGGTACCTTGTGACCACCTTGAACTTTTAGGATAAAGTTAGGCTTAAATGAAGAAAGAACAGTAGCTTAAAGCTTTTTAAAATTTTTCTTATTTTTTTAGAACTTCAAAAAACTGATTTCATGGTGTTTGCTGGGAGACAGTACTATTTAGGAGACAAGTGTCAGGTTAGTACTTACAGCAGATTCAGTTATGATGAATTAT